GAGTAGATAGGATGACAAGGGTCATGACCCACCAGCTCCCAGCCCTTGTTTTATCTTTTGACCAATTACCTGATCTTGAAGTGGTTGCTTTCTGTAATGTGGATCAAATGTTTCAGAGCTGCATGGATTTCCAACTTGGGGAGAATAGGTATAAGTTTTTGCACTTATAACAATAATCCCAGATCAAAAGCTACTCATTTTCTAACTGCAGTATGATTAGACACTGCTGCATGGTTGTTTTATGGAGCACTGTGAAATCACATAACACTCCAGCTTCCTAATCCGACTTCTAAAGTTCTAGGTATATTACTAATGTGAATGACTGCTTATTTAAAGGAAGAGCTAACCTCACTCCAAGGAATCTGTATCACTCTATCTTTTACAAATCTTAAGCCTCCTCTTCTTTCTCTAGCATAGGCAAACAGCCAATTCATGAGACAGTTTCTAACATACACTAGTCATGCAATCTGGCTGTCAGTGGCAAAGCTTTTGATTTGAGATTCAAAAGAACTAAGTTTGAGAAATCTTTTTTAGCAACTGATTTAAAGCTCTATAGATCTTCACATCCTCCCCTACTAAATGGAGATACTAGCTCCTATCTTTTAGGATGGCTATGTGAATGAAATAACACAGGTATATAAAAATGTACTCCTCAAGCTGCTAAGGATGTTGCTATTTATTCTCCTGAAATTCTGTCTCCCGCCCCTGCCCCCACCCCATAGATCCGTATCCATGTTTGTGACAATTTGTGTTTTTTAAACCCCCTTTATTGTGTATTGTCTGTACTCATTCCTGTGCTAGAGGAGGCAGCTGGCAGGCTGCATGCTCCTTGAGAGCAAGGGCTTGGTGCCTCATCCACTCTCTGGTAGTCCTGGGCCCAATCTGGACTCAGAAAATACTTCTGAGTATGCAAGAAGACATAGTAAACCATGACCACATGCAGGCTGTGTATTTCTTCCCTATACCATGTGCTGTGCAGGGTCACCTGTGGGAGCAAAATATCCAAGAAGGCTAGGAGGAAGAATTTGGAGCACAATTTTTCTTAGCCTTTGATAATGATCAAGAAATATTGTAGGATTAAGTAAATAGAAGCCAAAGAATCCTACTAATATGATAAGTTTAGGATTATCACTTTATAAAGAAAAAGAAGAAATCTGACCTACTATAGTTGATTCTAGGACCCATCCAGGAAATACCAGGAAGGGCAAGTACTTTAGGAAATGAAACACTTCATTGGCCTGAGATGTAGTACCACTGATACAAAGCGCTGGGCAGGATTGGCCTGCTGGACATATTTTCCATTTCCAAGACAGTTTATTTGGTGATGAGGAACAAGTGTATGGCTAGTCTTAATGTGATATGACTAAAGCTCAGGTTAGCCAAAAAATGGTTTTTATTATCTCTCTGCCTTGATGATTTTCATGAGAGCTTTCTATTGCTTCCATACTCATTCATTTGATCAGTAATACATGAGAGTCTGCCCATTTTACAGGCAAGGGTTTCAGAGCCTAGAGAATGTTTTTCCTTCTCCCAAATCTGGACAGTATATTAGAACCTCACCTTACCTAATTTGCAGTCCCCCCTCCTCCCACACACACCTGCAATCAGTAATGCACATGTATTGGTTGGGCTTGGGGAGGTCTTACCTGCACCTTAGTGTTAATTATCCTTGCTCTTCAGTGTTGCTAATTAAATGATTGCAGTGTCCAGTGTGACAGGTTTTTGTTTGTTTTTCTAAGACTCAACATTAGACAGACATCTCTGGGCTGTGTCAAGATTAGCTAGATAATCTAATTAAAATCATACTAAGTCCTAGAGTGCAACTATAAAAGCAGAGTAGCTAAATGGAGGGTTTAACTTTTAGTCAAGGGGCTGATGAAAGTTCTGTCTTTTTCTAAATGGTACAATGTTATGTCTTTCTTTCTTGCTAAAGCCACTGTCTCCTTCAGTTATTGCACAAGGAGGGAGGTGGAGGGTCCTGGTCCCTAGGCTAGTTATCAGCTAGAATCAGCTCATTGCCCTAGGCAAGTTAACTAACTGGTTGGATCTCTGAAATGAGGGCACTGGCAATGCCTACCTTGCTCTCTTCATAAGGTTGCAAGGATGGCATTACACAGGGTTCCCTGTGTAAGTTTTCTCAGAACTTCTAAGAACCTGATTACTGATTCTAAGCCCTCCAAAGGGTTATATGTCTTGGGCAATTTCCCTATCTGTCAGTTGTAAAAACAATACCTACCATGCTGTGTTGGTAAGAAGATAATAATAGAATTCTTAATGCAGTGCCAGATGCACAAGTAGGTGTCAATAAATGTTTATATGGTAGAATGAAACATAGCAGATCTGAGATGGCTAATGCAGCTGTCAAGTAGAGCACTGACTCCAGATAGCCTTTTCCCTAGCTGATCCATCCTCTGCTTTAGGGATTTTTCTTCTCTAAGTCAGGGCAAAGGCAAGGGGAAAGTTTGTGCTCTAAGATGTTGCTGTTAATGTCATAGTCTGTACAGCTTAGTATCTCTGCCCTGAGATGACTTCTTTAGATGCAACCACTATGACTAGATTAAGTGATGATGCTGTTGTTTGAATGAGAGGGTTAGTGTTGGACAATGGACCCCAATAATTCTTTTATGTTTGTGGTTCTTTTCCCTTCTATTTCCTTCCCTGTATCAGAATGCCAACAATATTTTATCATCCCTCAATCCCCTCAACCAGAGGTCAAGGTGAAGATGAAAATTCAGAGGACTAATGTACAAACTTGCCCTTAAAGTCTGGTCACAAAAGCAAAACCAGCCCCCAAGAACAGGTTCTGAGATGGTAAGAATGGATGGGGTACAAGAGTGTGAGCCTTGAGTGAATGGAAATCTGGGAGAGGAAAGGAAACAAAGCTTAAAGAACATAGGACAGGGAGGTAGAAGAAAAAATTCACTCATTTCACAATTTCTCTGAAGGTTCTTCCTGACCATCACCAGCTGTTGGACAATTCTTCTCTCAGTCTGAATTATACGATGTGTAATCCATGCAGAGAGCTGGACGCTCTGTCTTTGAAAATGAAGTATGTTGTAAAGTCAAAACAGCGCTTCTGCCCCAAATCTTGAGGGGGTGGCAAGGCGTGTCAGCATTCCGTGAATCCCAAAATACTGATTTTCTGTTGAGATAACAGGCTGCAAAGCCAGACAAAAGGAGAAGGAGCCCTTGGTTCTGGCAATTTCTGAGGGCAGAATAGAGTAAGAGAGCTAACGCTGGGTAGATTAAGGCCTTGAGAGCCACAAATTGCATTGGACACGTTCTACAAAAATACAAAACAAACTTGTTTCTTTATTAAAACAAGCAATGTAGGTTATTTATGGAAACTTTAAAATATATATATATAATCACTAGGGAAAACTTCTCCCCTAACCTCACTACTGTGCAACTGCAAAGTCTTTAATTAGAGTCAAGGCAGTCACTGATGGCCAAGTGCCTGGATTCTGGAGCCCACCTGTCCAGGGCAAAACTTCACTTCCCTGTTTTTGGCTAGTGGCCGTGACTTATATAACTACTGTGACGGGATTGTCCCTTCACTTTCAAATTAGGGATGAGGATAGTGATATTTCTGAGGATAGTTTTGCAGGTCAAAACAAACAGTATTACTTAAAATAATATCTAGAAAATATATAATAATTATTTGTTCACTTGCGGATTTGTTTTTTAAATATTTTTTATGTTTCTAAGCCTTTTTCATCATGTGTAGGAAGTAACATGTATAATACATAAATTTCTACAAAGATAGGATTGTCATGTTGTGTTTAGCAACTTTCTTACTCTCATGATCATCTTTTCATGGACAGATTTTTTTTTTTTTGGCCGGTTGTGGGGCCTGAACTCTGGGCCTGGGTGCTGTCTCTCAGCTCTTTAGCTCAAGGCTAACACTCTACCACTTGAGCCACAGTGCCACTTCCAGCTTTTTCTGCTTATTTGGTGCTGAGGAATTGAGCCCAGGGCCTCCTGCATGCAAGGCAAGCACTCTACCACTGAGCCACCTTCCCAGCCTGCATGGACAGATGTTTTCTTACTGCTAGCTAATATTGGTTGCTTGCAGCTGAGGTGGACCTGGTACTACAAATTTTACATAAATGATCACATTTAGTCCTCATAATAATTCTGTGACGTGGGTACTGCTATTACCATTTTTACAGAGGAAGAACCTTAGGCCAAGCAGTTTAAATAATATAAGTTTACAGAGCTAGCAATTACAACCCAAGTACCCTGAATTTATTTTCCTGTGGTAGAACTTGACATAGGCCTTATAAGAAGACTCAATATTTATTTAGGACTTCTAAAAAAAAAGCAGGTTTTAGACTGTCATAATTCTTCCATCCTACAATGAAGAGGAAATGGACATGCAACAGGCAATTAACCCTTGGCAGGACTGCACTTTGGGACTATAGCCTGAAGCATGTCTAATTGTTCTTGGGATATAGTGGTGATTTCAGTTGTTACTATGGAAACCACTTTCTGATTAAAAAAAACATAGAATCTAAGGTCCAGTCCTGGGCTTAATTTTTTTTCCCCAGAGTTCATCTTATACTTGAAGCCTTGAAGCAGGCTTTCATCTTGTTCTTTAGCACTTCTGACAGAGCCATCTGACCCAGTGATCATAGCTTCTTCCCCTTTCTGTTTCTGGACATTGACCCTTGCCCCCAGATAACTTAGGACCAGGTCCAAGGCATTGCCAATTAACTAACTAACCAGCATATCTTTTCTGGCTTCTTTTGCTATAGTAAGCTCTACACTGGATATCATAGAATGCCAGAGAGGAAGGCCTCTGAGAAAATTCCAACACACACAAAAGTAGAGCCAACAACTTAAAGCAGGTTGTGCATGGCTCCAATGACTGGTATGAGCCCAGATCAGTTCATTGGGAGAGTTGGCTATACTTTAGTTTGGGGGGCTATGGGTATAACTTAACCAGGAGTTTGATAGCATGACAGTAACCTTTATAGACTAATCCCTTGTCTCTCTAGGAGCAACTCAGAGAGGAGGAAGGAAAAGTCTCGAGATGCTGCCAGGTGCCGGCGTAGCAAGGAGACAGAGGTCTTCTGTGAGTTGGCTCATGAGCTACCCCTGCCTCACAGCGTGAGTTCCCACCTGGACAAGGCCTCCATCATGCGCCTGGCTATCAGCTTCCTGAGAACACACAAGCTCCTCTCCTCAGGTAAGACGACAAGTCCTCAAAGCTGGCATGGGATTCTTATCTACATGTGGCTACACATTGGCCCTTGTGGTACCAGAGATGTGAGACCTTCTTCCCAGACACCTCACTCTGCAAACATCCACTCATAGGAAGGTTATTACCAGTGCTTCATGTAAAACAGCAATGGCCTCTGTAGCAACAGCCTTAACAATGAATATGCAGGGAGGAGGAGGGCGAGAAGAAGACAAAGTGAACATGGGCACTGGGAAGCAATAAGGTTAGACCCTTACACTCCACACTTGAGTCTGCAGGAAGTGGAGTTGTTTTAGTTCTTGTTTGCCAGCTAGCTCTCTTGTATCCTGTTCAAGCTTTTCCCTCTTTCTAGCTGGTTAACCCAGGCAGATCATTTGGTCTCTCTGATCGTCCATTTCCTCACCTGCCTGATGAGGCTAGACCTAATAACACAAGGGGTCTGTGAAAATTGATGTAGACAATAACCTAGCTATGCTCATGTCCATTGGGGAGTGCTTGGCAGATGAGAGCATCAAGCATCACCCCTCCCCAGTGAACCCAGCACATTTTCTCCCTTCCTGGTATCTCTGCAATCTGCAGTCCATAAAAGTGTCTGTTTCTCATAAAATTACATTCTTAAAAAAAATTTTTTTTTCCTGTTAGTCCCAGCCTGGAAGAAGAGGCCTGAGTTTTCCAATTTCAGATCTTATGCGACAGTCTTGTCTAAATTGTCAGTTCTGTAAGGAAATTGAGCAGTGTAGCAGCCAGTCTGGCACCACAGGTGGGCAGTGTCTGAGGGAATGGGAGAGAGGGAAACCCTTAAAGGGAAGGGACCATTGCAGTTCATTTTCAGATTTACTGAGGGAGCCAGTTCTGCCATCCTGTTGTGAGGTAGCTATTCTGGGAAAGAAACCCTGAGCAGAGGGAATCCACTGTGAGAGAGGGAGGCCAGACTGACCTGTTCTATTCTGGGTCCTGAGCACAGGAAGGATATAAGAAAAAGACCTTCAGAGGAGAGGATGGCCTAAGGGTCTGGAGCCTGAGCTGCAAGCCAAATAGACTGAATACGCTTTCAGAAAAGAGCAACAAGGACACAGATGCTGTGCATATAGGACAGAGCAGTGACAGACTCATAGTCATAGATGCCCCAGACAGGAGCAACTACAGTTGAAATTCTGCAAGGCTGGGGTTGCTGGATAAAAGAAAGGCTTCTGGAGACTGCTATAAGGCCTCTGGGTACCTCTTCCTTTTAAAGAGGTTTGCCTTCTTGGAAAGCTGAGAAGACAGGGATTTTCAGTATTCTGCAAACCTGTTCGGGCAAAGCTGTTGATAAGAGTTATGGGCTTGGGAAGAGAGCCAATCTCAAATCCATGTTCCCAGGGGCTGAGCAGGGCAGACCATGAACAGTGGGTGGGAAGGAAGTCCTCATGCATTCAGAGACTGGTCCCTGTCTTTCCTCTTGGTGTGAGGTCTTCTTATCCATGCTTAACCCCATGTAAACCTGGTCCACATCCTCATTGGTCCTGAGAATGGCTTTCGGCCTGAGTTGACAGCTGGTGTGATCCCTCCATGTACTAGATGTCCCCAGAGAGACAGGACCTCCATGGGAGGTCGCCCATCCCACCTCAAGAGGTGTTGAACATTATGAATACAGACTGCCTCCCCTCTGGCCAAGCCCTGCCCCAAACCTACCAGAATCCTCAGTATTTTAGCCCTAGACCTCTCTGTTCCAAGGAAATAAATGTAAAAAGTTTCAACCTTGGGCCATCTGGTCCTGGTGTCCTTGAAGGAGAAGTTCTCATAAAATGAGCCTGGGGAGGATGAGATGGGTTATCAGCCCTCTCTTTTCCCTGCCTCCTCTCACAGCCTCTTGCCAGACATTCTCTGGATCATTTGTTGCATCTGTTTTTTCAGAAATTGTATTTTTCTTTGTAAATCATACTTTGCTTATTACCTTACAGAATAACGAAAAGCAGCACAGGATTTATGGGTAGATAACCCTGCATTGGATTTTCCCTGTGGCTGTTTTCTCCTTGTGCAACTTTGCATGCATTTCTTTCCCTTTTTTGAACTTCTCTTTCCTCATCTTCACAAAGAGAATAATGGTACTTAACTGCAGTGTGGCTAGAGGATCAAGAAGATATAAAAGAAAAAATTATTATGAAACACATTGATTTATAGTAAGAATCAGCTTCTGGAGAAGGGGGGGTGAGAGAAACCTGTCAGGATGACAGGGAAAACCTGTCATCCCAGCATTTCGGGTGGAGGCAGGAGAACTGAAAGCTTGAGGCCATCCTGGCCTACATAACACTAAGGATGAGACCGAATAGTAGAGCACTTGCCTAGCATATACAAGTCCCTGAGTTCAATCCTTAACACTACCAAAAACAAAAACACAACATTTCCAAGTCAAAACAAACCACAAAATCACTATTTAAGCATTTCTGACAAAAGTGAACAAGCCCCAGTTAGGCTCATTTTTATAATAGGAAATAGCTAGTTGCGTACCTCAGAGTTCAAAAGGCTAAAAAATACCAGGTCTGGCTTTAGAAAAGTTTCTTCTTTACTTAGTAACACACTTCCCTTTGATTTTCACAGTAGGCTCTTGTGTGTGGGAATGTTGGAGAGGAAACTTCAACATTGAGATTTCAGGCTGTGGGTTGGGGCCACCGATTGAGATTCCTATCACAGGAAGCAAACTGAAACAATAGCTTTATGATATTTGCTTCCATGCTGGGCTGAGGACAGAATAACTCTGACAGGAACATCAGTGGAAATACCACTTGATTGTCTTAAATCCTCTTTCAAGACAAGCCCTTCAAACTGTAATACTTCTGCATTCTAAGAGCATTAAGCACTGGTGAACATGCAAAATGTGCTTTCCATTCTAAAATTGCTTTGAGACTTCCTTACATTTGTATCAGGTAAAAATCAAATGCATTTTATCTAGAGTCAGCAACATGAAGCAATGTCTATAGGGGAAAATGGCAGGTTTATTCTTGATTTACGGTATTTGCTTAGTCTTCCTAGGAGATTACCATTTCCCTATCTCTAGACCACTAATAGGGAAAAGGCATTCCAAAGTTGAGGCTGTGAGGTGGGTGCTAGCAACTCATGCCTGTAATCCTAGCTACTCAGGTGGTTGGTCTATGATCTGAGGATCACAGTTTGAAGCCAGCCCTGGCAAGAAAGTCCCTGAGATGCTTATCTACAAGTAACCACCAAAAAGCTAGCAGTAAAGGTGTACCTCAAGTGGTAGAGCTCCAGCCTTGAGTAAAAAAAGCTAAAAGATAATACCCAGGCCTTGAGTTCAGACTCCAGTAGTCACACACACACACACACACACACACACACACACACACACACACACACCACAACACACTCACAAAGTGTGGCAAATGACTTTAAAGCTTTTACTATGACTTTTCTGTGCAGAAAAAGTTGTACAAGGAAACCAAAATTGTGGCAGCAGATAATGGTTTCTGGTGCTTTGTCTTGCCCCACTTTCAGAGTTGTTTTCTCTGGCTTTCACGCCAACTTCTTTACTGTCCCACCCCTTTGTCCTACACACACACTCCAGATCAAGGCCTTTTTCTGTCCTGTTGGGAAAGTAGCCAATAATTTGATTCATGCAAGGATGTTAATGGCTAAGAGTAGCTAATGTACAATCTCTCCTAGAAATACTGACCTTCTTCAGGTATTCTCTGAAGCCGATTCATCTTCTGAAGAATAATACACAGATGGAAAACAGGATAAGAAGATATGTAAAAAATGAGGGTGTTAGTGTCCAATGGTGGCCTTCTGGGGCTTTCCAGAATCCTAGGAAGGTCTGCTGGGATACAGTTTTCTGCCGATGATATGAGATAGCCCAAGCCTTCCCATGGTGGAGCCTAAGGTTCAGCTAATGATCCAGCAGGTGACGCCCAATCCCCTTCCTTGTTGGTGGGTTCATTTGAGACAGGAGACAGGAACTGAGGCAATACTCCAGGCTCCCCTCCCTGAAGGGGAATGGGAAGGGGACGAGTTTAGGCAAAGTCCTTGAAAGGAAAGACCCTGTGATAACCAAGTGCTAAACATATCTGAAGCAGGAAGGCTGGAGCAGAACCATTTTCAGAATAAAGTAGTCCTGGAGCTTCTTAGAGAAGGAAACATAGAGGGAAAATGACCCTAGTAGGGTAAGATTTGTAGCCAACATCCCGACCTGTAGCACTTCTGGGTCAGCCTGGTCTCAGAGACCTAGTCAGGAGCTCTCTGTTCTGCCACCTGCCCACCTTAGAGGGCCAGCTCCAACTGCCCATGGCATCCCAGCCAACAAGGGTGGTGCTGCCTGAAGGAAATGAGCAGTGCTCCGGAAAAAGTGCTCTGAAACCTCAGCTGTGCGTATCCTGGCTGTGGGGAGTCATCAAAGCCTGTTTACTGGGGCTATTTTTAGCATTAAAAAATCTCCTTGTGCTTCCCAGGCTGAATATGCTCTCCTTTAGCAGAGTACCTCTTTTTTCATTTGGAGTAGAACCCTATGGCAACCTAGGAAGCAAGTAACCAAGACAATATGATTAAAAGACCTACTTTGTTGTACACCTACTGTGAGCAGGTTCCTCACTTTATTCTGCGCGAAGGGTTTATTCTCACCTGTTGTATAACCTTACCATGATTGGTCTTTATGTTACCTTCAGTCTGCAAATTCCTTGAGGAATAGAATTGATCTGACTCTCAGAATCCCTGGTTCTCCATACAACAGGACTAGGCACAGAGTAGTAGTTCCACACAGTGCAACTTGTGAACAGATTACTTTACCTGGTGCAGTGCAAACACAGTTGCAAGCTTAGTTGCTGTGCAATAAACAAGTGCATCTTTTCTTATGTCCAGAAGTGAGTCAGATATTTATAACACATCAGGGAAGACTGGTTTACACAGGGAAAAGGTAATGATATCTTCAGCAGGGATGTGACATTTGCCTCTTGACCCTCAAGGAAGGATCTGCCTCTGAGCCCCAGGCTGGGAGCAACCAGGCCAGGTTCCTTTAGAAGCTCCCAGAAGGATAAGCAGGTGCTAGGAGAGCAAATAGTTCCACTGAAGGAAGAGACCCCGCCTGAGTCCTGCTGGCCCAGGGTCCCTGGGGCAGCCTGCTGGCTTCCTGACCCTTTAGCCATTGTGACTTCAATTCCAAGATGTTCTGTTTCCTTTTGTGGCCCAACATCACCCCACTCCCTCCTTCCCTCTGAAGGTCAGGCCAGTGGATCCACCGCAATAGCCAATTTCGCCACCTCCTGGAAGCAAGCGCGATGGACAAGATGGAAACCCGTCTGTCTGTATTGGACTTGTTAAAAACAGGAAATTTTAAGCAGAACTATTTCCTCTGGGCCTGGTTAACCCAAATAGGTTATCTTGGGCTGACTCCATATTTTGAAGTCAGTGTTACCACTGAGATCAAAGAAATTGAGGAGAAAATACCTTCTCAGTAGGCCACAAGGCTGGCTTCTGCTTGTCTAGTAAATCTGGTGTGATTTAAATGGTGCTGAAAACTTCTCACCTGTTTCCCAAATCAATCTAAATTGAGCATTTTTTTCCTGCACTGAGGTCACTCATAGGACCTGGAGTTGAGACAGTGGTCTTCAGGGGTGATCCCAAGAGCAAGGGCTTCAGCATCACCTGAGAACATGGTGACAAAGAACATTTCCAGACCCAGGCAGGGATTCGCTGAAGGCTGAAGCAGGAACTCTAGGCTAGGACACCTGGACAGTCTTGGAGGGCCTTGGATTAATTTTTCAATAAGAGGTCCCTCATTTTTACTTTGCTCTTGTGCCCATGAATTACTTACCAGCTCTTGGCTAAGAAATCTTCATTTCAGTCAGCAACTTCCCCCAGGTAGTCCTGATGCATGCACTAAATTAGTTCACTATCTCTCCTAAGATCCCTTTTAAAACATGGGCATTACCAGGAAATTATATCAGCAGCTATATCTTTCCTGGAACACAAGCTGGTCATCATCAGTCCAATTGACTAGTTAACTGGCAAAGAACAGATAAGTCAGTGGGGAGAGTGTTACATGAGGACTAGGTATTGGTGTGAGTGGTGGAAGGCTATCATCACCTGAACAAGGCTTTGAAGAGAAGGAATTTCCCTCATCATGTCATGCTGTTTTGATGAATAGGGGAAAAGGTCGTCAGAAGGCTGCTCTGCATAACTCCTGGCCTCGGAAAGCCAAACTAGCACTTTATGAGCCCTGTTCTGTTCCCCTTAGTGTTAGGCCAGCTCACCAGTGTTACCACTGAAGCCCTTTGGGGGAAGTATCTCTTAGTCTGAATATTCCTTATGAACTTACATTTAAGGGTACAAAGATAAAAAAAAAATGAGAAGTGTCATTGCAAAAAAATTCCCTTGATGTTTACTGCCTAGCACTGCTAGTGTCTCCTGCCAAGTGGCCTGTAAATCTAATTGCATTTTATACTCCCTAGAAGAGTATCCATTTGAAAGACTTCTTTTAGTTCAGCAAATATTGACTATGTAAGTGAAAAGATACTTCCAAAATCAAAACCACTTGCTTCATAACTCAACTGTTGATTGTACTGGATGAATACAGAGTTTTAAAATACATATATGTGTACACTTAAATAATGAACTAGGAGAAGTAGGTCTGGAATGAAGTCTATGGTCTGAGGCTTACAAGGCCTAGGGCCTACAAGGTCTTTTATCTGGATCAAGAGTTGAGTCCACATTTTGCAGGTAAGAGAGGCTTACTTAATAGATGAAGATATTTGGAGTAGATAGTTTGGGACAGAGGTTACCCCAGGATGCCCCTAGCAACCAGCTCTTCAGCCTGCTTTAAAGCAGGTGCCTCTTGACTGATTTGTTCCTCTCAACTTCAGTTGCTCCAAACCACTCTGCATGCTTTTGTCAGATAAATCCCCTCCAAAGCAGTGCTTTGAGATGAATGTGTATTCTCTGCTCCTTTAGCTGGAAAGTGAGGCACCTCCAGAACACCAAAGCCTACCTCAGCTCTGAAATTGGGACATGGATCCTCTTCTTCAGCCTAATGGGCCTTTTCATAAAGCCTATTCGTGTGTTTTCCAGGATTTGCCCAACCCTGTCCAGCCTGGAAAGCGCTTTTCTTTTCGATCTCTCACCCAAAAGAGTGAAATCTTCCTTTTTTCATTAGTCTTTTCAAACCCTCTTCTCTGAAACCATCATCTGTGATCACCACAAAGAACCCTTCTTTCTCCTCTGACCCCTAGAGCACTTAGGCTGCCTCTTCTTCAGTGCCCAGCTACCATGCCCTTGAGTTGCTGGTATTTGTTTTAACTTCGCATCTCTATGTGTTCCATAATTCCCCAACTAGGCTTTGAGAAATCTAAGGAGAGTGACAGTGTCATGGAGCAGATGAGAGAAAGAATGTACAATTTTTATACTGTTTGAAGCAGTTTATGTACTTAGTTAATTTTTGTGGTTCAAAGCAATGAAAAGTATTCTTCTCACTTTGCTGATGAGGAAACTGATGCTCAAAGAGGTTGTTACTTAAGGTCATAGCCTAATAGAAGTAATATTTGACTCCAAATGGTTGAATAGGATGACTTCTAGGTTTGCCTTTGCGGCTTGCTAGCTTTTGAGCCTCTAACACCTTGGACAAATGGCTTTCCCATTCTAAGCCTCACTTGTAAAATGAGAATTGGAATAGTTGCCACTTGGTCCAGTCGTTATGAAAACTATAGAATGCTCAGTGTAATACTTATGTGTAGCAATTGCTACAGTATACACTAGCACTTGTAAGTTCTGTTCCTATCACTACTATGACTAGTGTATCAATGATTAGTATTACAGCTGTCAGTACTGGTACCCCAGTTGTCACTACAACCTCAAATCATGTGTCATGGTGCCTATCTAATGTCCACTTTTTAGGCAGATGGTAGATATCTGAACAGCTGGCAGTGTGCATTTACAGAAAAGCCCACCAAATGCCCTCAAGGATCCCAGGCAGACATCAGTGCTGCCAGTCACATGTCTTAACGCCACATTTATGTAAGCCACCAATCCCCTCTCTTTCTAGTTTGCTCTGAAAATGAATCTGAAGCTGAGGCTGACCAGCAGATGGATAATTTGTACCTGAAAGCCTTGGAGGGTTTCATTGCCGTGGTGACCCAAGATGGTGATATGATCTTCCTGTCAGAAAACATCAGCAAGTTCATGGGACTCACCCAGGTGAAATCTTCTCTACCTCCTCAGAAAGGGGAAATATAACAAACAAAATGGTCAAGGGAGGGAGAAAATAATAAAGACAGGATGGTGAAGATAAATAGGATAAAAGTATGGGTATACATATACGTAAGTATCATACAACCCATTAGTGTTTAAATAATGAAAGAATAACACTGGGGGAAGTATGGTAAGAAGTTATAGAAAGCATTTAGAAACTTTCCTATAATTAAAAAATTAGTTGAAATTTTAAACCCCCATTTGGGGGTAGAAATTAGTAGAAAATTGTGGTCAGTGTCTTTTCACTTCTCCCTGCACATGCCCACTTAACGTTCATGATCCTCAGGCCATGCATCAAAAATACATACACTCCCACTCCTTGGAATTGGGTTTGGCATTGCTGCTGGCCATCCAGATTGGCAGTTCTTTCCAGACTAGATTACCAAAATAAACCTCCTGAGTCTGAGTCAAGTCCCTATCACTATCAATAGCCCTTTGCTACATCTGTATTTCTATGGATCTAACACTGGCCTGGAATTATGAGAAGAATTACCTGATTTGCTGTCTCCAGTACTGGAAGGTAGCTCAGCTTCCTCTTGGAGCCTTTCAATTCAGTGTTAGAAATAATGAAGACTAACCTTGTTTTTAAAACAGGTAGAGCTAACAGGACACAGCATCTTTGATTTCACTCATCCCTGTGACCATGAGGAGATCCGTGAGAACCTGACTCTCAAAAATGGTAAAGTACTGTGGTTTGTCTACCTCCCTCTTGTCCCACCCCTGAAAGAATCTACCTTCCCTTTATCTACGAGCACGAGACATGGCTCATGAACACAGCGATGCCAGAAAAGAAAAACATCCTGACATCAGTATGGACATGAAGCCTGAGATGAGGGTGATAAGATTGCAGGCACAAAGAAGATCCAGAACTCAAAAATAGCTTCTGCTGGCCCCATATGATGCCTGATGTCATACTACTAGGGCACACCTTCAGGTCAAGATGCCTTCTCTAGGAAGTTTCATCACCTGAGATCAGGCATCTCTGCCAAGTGATACCACCCAAACCAATAACCTCATCATCTGTGACCAAGTGCTCATGGGAGCTGCTGCATTTGTGCGTTGACTGTGTAACAGGACTTATGCAATCCTTTTTATATTCTGTCTCATGTTTTTGTGGGTTCAGTGGGCAGGGATCTTGCTTCATGTGATATCACTGGGCTGCAGTCATCTGGGATTGGACTAGGCTGGGGCCTGTATTAGGTGATTGACAAAGTGGGGTAGCTCTCTCCTTCAGTCTCTCCATTGAATCTCAAAGTGCCCTTTCCATATAGGGCCTTCAGATTAGCCATATTTGGTGGCAACTCTAGGCTCCCAACGTGTGAAAGCAGAAGCTGTCAGGAGCCTCCTGAGGTACTGTATTACTTCTGCCTCATTTTGCTGGTTGGAGCAAGCAAGGTTCAGGGTAGCCCTGATTCAGGGTAGGAGGAACCTGCCCAAGAACATGCATATCAAGAAGCCTGGCTCATTGCAACCACCAATGAGACTTAACAATACTATAGGAGCTATGACATGGATCTGGGGCATCTGGTGATGGGCAGGTAGATAGAGAAGAGATTATTTATTTATTTATTTATTTTTGCTGGTCCTGGAACTTGAACTCAGGGTCTGGGCACTGTCCCTGAGCCTTCTAGCACTCTACCACTTGAGCCATGTGCACCACTTCTGGCATTTTTTTGAGTAGTTTATTGGAGGTAAGAGTCTCACAGGGATTTGTCTGCCCAGGCTGGCTTCAAACTTCAACCCTCAGATCTCAGCCTCCTGAGTAACTTGGATTACAGGTGAGAGCCATTGGTACCCAGCTGAGAGGAGATTATATATAATGTTGTACAGAGGGGTTACAGTTATATGAGTAGGGTAATGAGTACATTTCTTTTCTCGTTTTGTTTTTTTTTTTTTTGGTTGGTCATGGGGCTTGAACTCTGGGCTTAGGTGCTGTCCCTGCACTCTTCAGTTCAAGGCAAGCGCCCTACCGCTTGAGCCACAGCGCCACTTCCAGTTTTCTAGTGGTTTATTGGAGATAAGAGTCTCACAGACTTTCCTGCTCAGGCTGGCTTTGAACCTCAATCCTCAGATCTCAGTCTCCTGAGTAGCTAGGATTACAGGTGTGAGCCACTGGTGCCCAGCTAATGAGTACATTTCATAGTGAGCATTGTTACCTTAAGAGATTTTTTTAAAGAGATAGTATACCAGATCTTACCTGTGGGAGTATACAATCAGTGCCAATGGATGGAGACAACCCACACAGGCTGTAACTGGGGGCATTTGACAAAAGACATGAATGGGGATGTTGTCAAGAGGGCTGCAGTTATGCATAATGACCATCAAGATTCTTTCTAAAACCAATCCCTAATCTGAACATACCTTGGCCTCATTTAGAGATCCTTTCTAATGTCTCTCTTTTTTCACTGCCATGGGTTTTATGGGGTATATGTTCATTCAAACTGAATAACAGAAGCAGTGGTACAAAGCCTTCAGGCTTTACCCTTGTTACTACACATGCTGAAAAAGCATAGTCTCGGTTTGATTCTGGTACCTGAACCAAGTACCCCACCTCTGTGTCCCTTGAGTCTTGCCTCCATCCTTAATGCATATTATCTGTAATTCTTACTTGGGCCTTCACCCAAGTTCCTCTTCTATCCCAACCACTACCCTTGATCTCTTCTCTGAATCCCTCTACCTTCCAAAAAAGGACTCAGCCACCTGGCTCTTAGGGTCCACAGGCTGGGGAGCTTTGGGCTGTGTCTGCTATGTTCCATAGCACTGAGAATAGTCTGTGTTCTGTATAATGGCTAGTTCTAGGGAAGAGGCTAACAAGCCTTTGGAAGTACTTTCTAAAGCCAGTGTTGATTCTTTCTTCTGTCCTCCAAAAACTCACTGGTCCTTGAGTTCTTGGTCTCAGTTTAACCACTGATCATAGTCTCAGTTTGACTTTGTGACCCAAACCAAGAACCCACTTCTGTGTTCTTGGGGTCTTTCTTTTAAAATTGATGGCATTAGACTAGGCAAGGTCTAGGACCTTCCAGCTTTCAAGTGCTTTGACCCATGGGCAAGTGCCTTCTGCTTATCAAAGTAGAACTTTAGTTCTACTTCTGACTCAGTGAGTCAGAAGATCCTCATCGAAGAAGCTTGTCTGTGAGTGGACTTATGATCTAGAAGCAAAAGGTTGGTACTAGTTCCTAGAGGAAGATAAGGCCATGGGTTAGATTATAGAAGGTTTTGAAGGCCAGGGAGAGGGACTTGAACTTTATCCTGCAGTTGGCAAGGAGCTAATAAAGGTTTTTGAGCATGTTCTTAAGTTAGGTAGGGAAAGAATGATCGAATGTCAGAATGGAAAGAATCCAGAGTTTAACAAGTTAGGGGCCCACAATAACAACCCGAACAGCTACAAAGGAGTCTCCTCAACCCTAACTTCTGGGGGCCCCCAAAATACAAATATATTTCTCATAATGCAAACCCTACCTGTGAAAGTTAAAACTGTAAGAAGCATTATTAAGTGTGTGAGAGAGTTTTATCAAAATGGAGGAATATTCTCTCCTTACAACAACAGCTTCCAGGTGCTGGTAGCTCACGCCTGTAATCCTAGCTACTCAGAGGGTTGAGGTCTGGGATCACAGTTTGAACACAGCATGGCAGGGAAATTCGAGACTCTTAACTCCAAGTAATCACCAAAAAAGCCAGAAATACAGCTGTGGTTCAAGTGGTAAAGTACCAGCCTTGAGCAAAAAGCTTAGGGATAATACCCAGGCTCTGAGTTCAAGCCCCAGGACTGGCAAAAAAAAAACCACAAAAACAAAAAAATAGCCATCATTCAGTCCAAGTATGCCAAATAAATCAAGCTCTTCTGGAGGTTTAGATGGAGAGGCTTGTGGCTTTTCCTAGAGTGAGGGGAATGACCATTTGAAGTAAGGCTGTAAGTTCTCTGATACTGGTAAGGGGACAGGAGCGCAATTTAATTAATTCTGGTTAAGAGAGCAGCTGATCTACACTGAGTTCATCTTCAAAGTGCACCTGCTTACCCAATCCCAGGAAAGTTAAACACAATTTCTGGTTAAATCTAATGGCACATTAGAAGAAATCTAATAATACTTTGTCTTCAGTGTAGTAATTGGGGGTTAAAAAGAGAATGCCAGCTTCCTGGGAGAAAGGTTATATAGAAGAAAAGCAGAGTGCTTCTGAGGACAATTCAAAGCATATACCCCTGCAGTAACTGGCTTCTCCTATATCAAACTCTGGCCTTCCTACTGGAAGACCCTGGGTCTCCTGGACCCAGAGCAAGTTTCTGAAACCGTGGCCATAGTCACTCACTGCTTTCACTGACTGAAGACCAAACTCTAGGTTCAGGGGGGAAACAAACCCTATAGGCAGCTCCTACCTTCCAGAAGTTCAGGCTTCAGATAAGGAGACAAGCTAAAGGTGAGAAACCATTAGTCCATGGGCCACAATGAAGCTCAATCTTCATTGAAGGCTGCAGAGCCTACAAGTATAAACAATAGGGAAACAGGAAAAATAAGTTGCCCAGAAACCATCAGGCTGGGCCTCTCTTGTCAATGAAAACATAAAATTAATTTGACTGGTTTTCACACTTTTGACCATCCAGGCTCTGGTTTTGGAAAGAAAAACAAAGATATGTCCACTGACCGGGACTTCTTCATGAGGATGAAGTGCACAGTAACCAACAGAGGCCGAACTGTCAATCTCAAGTCAGCCACATGGAAGGTAGGACAGCATCAGGCTTGGGGTTAGAGTCCCAGGTTGGTCAGGAGGAATGCCTAAAGGCCTGCTCCTTCCCCTATATGTAGCACTCTCAGCCTCCTGTCTGACCTCTGGCCCCACAGGTCTTACACTGCACTGGCCAGGTGAAAGTCTACAACAACTGTCCTCCTCACAGTAGCCTCTGTGGCTACAAGGAGCCTCTGCTCTCCTGCCTCATCATCATGTGTGAGCCTATCCAGCACCCATCCCACATGGACATTCCATTGGACAGCAAGACCTTCCTGAGCCGCCACAGCATGGACATGAAATTCACCTATTGTGATGACAGGTGGGGATCTGAGCATTCAGCAGCTGTGCTGAGCAGGGTGTGTGTGTGTCTGTGTGTGTGTCTGTGTGTGTCTGTGTGTCTGTGTACCTGTAATGAAGGGATGGGACTGGAGCATGAGTATTGAAAGTCTGTGTGCTTGTATTGTGTTTCATTCTACCAGTTCTCAGAGGTCTTTACCATAATAGTTGATGGTGTCTCAGTGACATAGCTTCAGTCTGTCTGTTCCTCTGTGTGACTATTGTCATCATTGTGCTGTGTATACATTTTTCTACTTATGTCTCAAGGCTCCTGAGAAAATTTCCAGGATGTGCCCTGCCTCAGATGACAAGGGCAAAGAGATTTCTATCAGTATTCTCCATTCAGAGGCCTGCCTAGAGCATAGAGTTTGGGCCTAAATACTGACACATGGTGAGACTAGCTTCTCCTGGTTCTCTTTTATGACTGACTGAGCTATTCCCTCCATTTTCCCCCTGCTGTATGCAGCTGCATTCTGACCACTGGCTAACCTTGTTTTAAAGCTTTCAGAGGAAGGGAGGTAATTCAAACTCTGCACTCCAACTCTAGGATCACTGGAAATTGGACACAGTAGGCTAGGCCCTGGGGCAATGTGGCCTAGGTTCAGATCTAGTTGTGCATTAGTGCAGATGTATAGTGTTAGTTCTTGTTTCTGTTATTACTAATGTTGTCAAGAGACCACCCAAGACCACACAGTCATCTGGGCAGGCATGTCATCTCTAGTTCCTAGTTCAAGTTAAGGGCTAACGTGGTAGAGAAGAAGCTGGGGTTGTCATTGAGTGTCTAAACCACATGACATTACTAACCCCTACATGCTTGCCCCTGGGGCTATGAGCCAGATGATTAGAATGTGGAGGAGGACAGTAAGGACAGTTATGAGGGGCAGTGGCCAGCATTAGAGAGGGAAGAAAGCCATAAGTAACTGATCTTGGGGGGAGGCCCCTCGGGAGTGAATGCCATTTATACCTTGCTGAGTAGTGTACACCAGATGTGTCCTTCAGGACAGAGCTCATCCACTCTGATCCTACCTTTCTTCAGTATCCAAAGTCAACTCTGTAGCCTCTCTATCTCTGTGCCACTCCCCTCTAAAATGGATAATTATGTTCTCAGCCTCTTTCATGGAATCAGTCATGCATGGTCATGGCTGTCAAGTATTCAGAAAAGCACAGGACAGCAGCACATGGGAGGTTTCTTGGGAGTATACTTGTTGCTGTTATGTTGCTGTTGTTGCTTTTGCCCTTGACCATCCTGAGGCAAAATATGCCCACAAACCAAATGAGACAAGAGCATTCCTGAAGGCTCAGGGCCTGACAGAGGAAGGAAGACCACTGGCAAAAAACTGCCTTGTCTTCCTTATCAGCAGGAAACCCCTGAGCCTTAGAACAAGAACTCCTGCCCAGCCTCCCCCAAACCCACCACATCTTTCTGTTTCCTTCATGGCACAGCCCTGCTTTTGGGTAGACATATTTCCATTCTTCTGATTCTAGACTAACCTAGCATTAGTTGGTAGTATCTTCTTAGAATTGGCTATCACTTGTGGCACAACTTCAGGACTTTTGTAAAAGTGTTGGGAAGGTGGCTCAGTGGTAGAGTGCTTGCCTTGCATGCATGAGGCCCTGGGTTCAATTCCTCAGTGCCACATAAACAAAAAAAAAAAAAAAAGCTGGAAGTGGTGCTGTGCCGCAAGTGGTAGAGTGCTAGCCTTGAGCTGAAGAGCTGAGGGACAGTGCCCAGGCTCAGAGTTCAGGCCCCAGGACTGGCAAAAAAAAAAGCATTGTGAAACATTTCTGTCACTCATTTTTTTTTGGGGGGGGGAGAGGGGTTGTGGTCCTTGAACTCTGGGTCTGGGCACTGTCCCTCAGCTCTTCAGCTTACGGCTAGCGCTTTATCACTTGAGCCACAGCACCACTTACTGTTTTCTGGTGGTTTATTGGAGATAAGAGTCTCACAGACTTTCCTGTCCGGGTTGGCTTTGAACCCTGATTCTCAGATCTCAGCTTCCTTAGTGGCTAAGATTACAGGCATGAGCCACTAGCGCCTGGCTCTGTCTCCCATTTTCAACTCATTATAGCCCAAACCTCGGGCTCTGAGCAATTTTCTAAGTTGAAAAAGCAGCTATAGTCTCATGGGGAGAGGTAGTCATGAATGAAGGCTTTTATCCTGCAACTTTGACAGTTGTCAGAATGGCTGTCACCATCATAATCATGAGGACACAAAGATGATGATGATGACTAGAGAGAAAGAGGAATTCTTGTTCATGTCACGGTCATTTACCAGGTGCAGTCCTTGTGTCCTTGATGTACACCTCTTTCAGTAGTATGCAGAGATGACTTGGGAAGCTGCAACACATGATCCACATGTCACTGGTTTTGACAGGAAGTGGTGCTCAGGACACCCTGGCCACGTAGCCTGAGAGCAGCTGCAAGTGTTGTGGGTGATGGAAGCTAGAATTGGCCCCTGTGGGTGAGACATACCCATCATGGGACTCCGCCATACAAGCAAAGTCCTGTTATCCTTGAAAAACTATAGCAAAAAGGATGTTTTTTATAATTGTTTTTAAAAGCTTAAGATTTTGATTTTTATAAAAGTGAAGGAAAAACTCACTTTGGAAAGCAAAATTCAATGTTAATCTGTTTCCTCATTGTCTTGATTTGAATGAGTTTTAGATAATTTTCTGAAAGCATGTGGATAAAAGAAAACAGGGAGAGCAGATGAAATTGGACATCTAAAAGTGGTTGAAAAGAAAATGGACACAGGCAGAGGAGAGACACTATACTGACTTTTTGGTTTAAGACTGGCAGCCAAGTATATAATACTGACAGCATGGAGGAGGGAGATATTGCTTATATGTTTTGTGGGTCACGGTGCATTTGCAGCAAGGAACTTGATTACATGACCCCTACTAGAATTCAGTGATTCTGGAGAAATGGATGTGAATGTACATAAACACACAGAATGCTGTGCCATACAGAAGTTGTGCTTAAGCAATTAGCAGATTAGTGAACAAGGGCACAGACACAGCTTAGACAGTTATGAAGTGACTATTTTAAGTCTTTAATCCCTAAGGGTTATTTCTCAATTGCTCTGATGAGGACTTGGGTTTGTGGGTTTGGTTTTTTTGGGGGGTGGGGGAGTTTGAAGGCTTATTTTCATTCTTTGTATTGGGAATTGGACACAAACACACACACACACACACACACACACACACACACACACACGCCTTTAGTGTACTGTTCTTAATAGTTCTGAGATATCCTTCAAACCAGTGCCTACATGGGATAGCTAATAAGAAGTGGAATCAATAGGTCTTCCCATTTTAATCAGAGAATTTATTTGGTTTAATGATATCTAATACAAAACAGACTACAAAAGCCAGAAATAATATGAAGCAACTAAGGCAATAGAATCCACAAAATCACTTTTGAGGCAGTTTGATAGTTTTTTAACCCTTACATCAAACACAGTACAGATTTTTAAATACAATATAGTTTCAGAAAGTTAAAATCAAAGAAAGAAGGGAGGAAGGGAAGGGAGGACAGAGAAAATAGAGAGGAGGATAAAAAACAGAAATAAGAGAGATTTTTCAGAGTCTATAATCAATGAATCTGAAAGCCCATTCTGATACATTTAAAATTGAATACAGAAATGTAGATAGTTCAAAAATATTTATCTTCCCTTAAATAAAGAGTCATCAGATTATTTAAGGCCCTCTATTAATTATTTTAGTCATTACATTTTTAAAAGTGTATAATGATTCATATGTTAGTTACATTTGTATATACATGTTAGGTAGCCTTTCTCTGAAATACTTGTTACTAAAGGTATTTCAGATTTCCAAGGATTTTTGGTTTTTGAAATACAGATTCTATACTCAACCAGATTCTACTCTGAGCACTGCTATCCTGAAACTCTAAAAGCCAAAGTACTCTGAAATCTGAAACTTTTTGAATATAACATTGGCACATTTTGGATGTCAGATTCTCACACTAGGCATGTTCAAATCTGTTTATACTTCACTGTTGTAGCTTGTGACCAAGGGAGAAAAGTTGGGTAGCTATGTTAAAAGAATGTATAAGTGATGATCTTCTCTACCTATGACTCAAACATAGGCATAATACTCCACTTCATAAAATACTAAGTAGTTCATGAACTGTTGTTTATTGGGCCCCTGGCTAACTAATAATCCTGTGCCAAATACAATTATATGAAAGAAGTAAAGAGAAGATTGTTGATCTCAAAGAGTTTAGGGTCTGAGACACAAGCAGCTTAATGAAACTATAATGATATGAAATAAAATATTCCATTCTCCCAAAAAGGAAAACAAAAATTGTTCCCAAATAGTTTAACTTTAAAATAGGTGGTTTTAAATTCATGTGGAGGTGCCATCTAGTGACAAAAGAGAGTAACTGACAGGTGTGAGGCCATCAAGACTAATGTCTAACTGGCTTGTACCACCACTTGACTTTGTGACTTCTATGAGTCTTTCTGTATCTTAGAAATAAAGTACAAAATCAAATTATGTGGATAGGGCATCATGGGGAAAAGAGAAATCAGTATCAAAATTACAGTCAAAATTTTAAACTAAGCCAGGTGATGGTGTCTCCTACCTATAATCCTAGCTATTCAGGAGTCTGAGATTTGAGGATGGAGGTTTAAAGCCAACCAGGAAGGAAACTCTGTGAGACTCTTATTTCCAATTAAATTACAGAAAAAGCCAGAAGTAGTGCTATGGCTCGAGTGATAGAATGCTAACCTTGAATAACCAGGAGTAAAGGAGCTCAGGGACCGCACGCAGGCCCAGAGTTCAAGCCTAAGGATGGGAGGGTGGGGGGAAGAATTTAAAAAGAGGATAATTTAATCTTTGCAGATAAAAAAACTTAAGGACAACCATCTTTTGCCAATGAATTGAATGAACTTAGGATGTAATAAAAACTAGTATTTGCAGTTCAGCAAGTTAAGATTGCTGAATTCCAAATTCTATACCT